AAAAAAAAAAGGGGGGGGCAAAATTACCTGGTTTTGTACAGATCAATGCTTTATAACTTCAGGTTGCTAAGTGTGCGCCTGGGGGAAGAGTCCACCCCAGCCTGGGCATGCCCTCCCTCAAGCTCAGGGCCACACTTCACCTGCAGCTCCTCTTCAGCGCTTTTGCTCCCCATCCCTGGTCCGCTGTATTAAAGGACACCCATCGAGAGGAAAGTACCTCCCAGATTCCTAGAGAGGCAGGCCTGGTGACTTGGGGGAGCGGAAGCTTATCCCGAGACACTTCCTGTCCGGTCATTGTTCTCGCGCCGGTAGGCGCGGGGGTCCCAACCAGCCGGCCTCCTGAGCCAGAGCCCCGAGCTGGTGGGTCTCAGCGCGGGCTCGGTAAGCGGGATTTGTAGGGGTAGGCACGAATGGGGTCATGGGAGGGCCTTTCCACAGTCAGCCCGCAGCGCTCTTCTCTTGGGAACCCCTTCCAGTCGGCACGAGGGGCGGCTCTGCACTCCTCCACTTCGCCAACCCAGCTGCCGCCTACCGGGGGCCTGGCCTGGGCAAGATTGGACATGGGCTGCCACGGGGGTCAGGCTTACCCGGGAACAGGGCTGCGTGGGGACTGAGGTGGAGGAGTTGGAGATAGGGATGCAGCCTTTCCCCAGGAAAGGGATTCCAGAGACAAGGCTTAGGTCGGGGACTGTGCTGCCTGGGGCTGGATGTAGATTGAGATTTGATGAGAAGACTGATAACGGTGCTCGGTGCTGGCTGTCTTGCTGCACTCTGGGGGAGTGTTAGCGTGCCTCCTGCCTGCTGCATGGAGCAGCTAGTCGTGGAAAGAATGAAGATTTGTTGCAGGAATGAAAGAATTGTGTTATGCAAGAAATTCGATGTATATATTATAAGTTGCCAGGAAGTCAACATAGGAAAAAGGATTGTTTTGTCCCAACTTCTGTGACCGGCCGCAAGAAAGGAAGGCAGGAGGCAGAAAGGCTGAGCAAGCAGAGTTTATTGCTCCCTAACAGCAGCTGAGACGGAGCCCCTAGAGTGGGGTCAGCAGCTACTGCCAACTCAATAAGGGGGAAGGGTCTCTTACATAGATTCTAAACTCAAATTCCAAAAGGGTGACTCATCGCTATGTCCCTTGATGTAAAGCCCAGTTTGTTATCACCTTCTTCTAGCCCTATCCCAGACAGCAAGTTCCTGTTAATTGGATGCAAGACCCAATTTATTACCGCCGTATCACCCTTGGATGCAAGGCCTAATTTATTACTGCTCTTATCCAGTCCCTCAGTAAATCTCAGCACTTGGTCACTCCCAACAGGGAGTGATCCTTGAGTAGCCCCAATAGGTTAAGTAAATGTAGCACTTTTTTCCCTAACAAAACTTCCAAAGGGTAATAGAGAAATTTCAGTCTCTTCATAGTCAACCAAAGTAATAATATTATGCTATTCACATAAGATGCTATTAATAGCATAATATGCTACTCACAGGAGCCCTGACTTGGCTACGATAAAAGGCTATTGCTGTTAAGTAGTAGTAGTGTGATTTGGTGTGGTCCTTTTAGAGAGTGGTTTGGCAATATATGTCAGCTGTAAAATCCTTAAACCTTCAAGAATCCCTCTATTCTAAAGGAATAATTCAGCAGAAGGGGGAAAATATTTGTAACAGACATTTTTTTAAATAATAGAACAGTTTATTTTTACATCATTTTGTGCCTTTTTCCATCTCAGTTGTAATCTCAGCTTCCCATCACCAAATCACCTGTGTGCCATCACCATAACAACGGACATTTTTTAACCTTAGTTATTTTTTAAAAAATTAACTGAAAACACCAAAACTTCTTTTACTAAAGCAGTGACTCATAGAAGACGATGGTTAAATGAATTATAGCTATAATTTAGAATATTTTGTCGAGACAGCTGTTTATTTATTTTGAAAGGTCAAGTTGAGACTATTGTGAAATATGGAAATTTAAAAAAAATGCAGGTTGCTAAGAATGTGTAAGTATGATCAAATAATGTTGGGAAAATAAACAATGAGTGAATGTTTAACCATGTATGGAAATGCAGAGAAAAGATTGAGAATTAGACTGATAACTAATTACTATGTGAGCAACATTTAATTTTATATATATCTGTGTTGATCCTTTTTCAAAAAGAAAGACGTTTAACACCAGAGGTTAGTGTGCAATTACTAAAAACAATGCACATGAAGATTGCCAATGTGAAAAAACACTTTCTTTTTTAAAGATTTGTTTATTTATTCATACAGAACTGGGGTACAGGCCAGAGACAGAGTGGGGAGCAGAACAGGCAGATCAATAAAGTACACTGCTGAGGGGAGCAGCAGGAAAGACAGAAGAGGTCTGTCGCGCCATGTGGGTCACCTCTGAGGCAAGGATTGAACTCACACTGAAGGGGCTGTGGCTAGCTTGCAGTGCTGCATCCTAACCCATTGCGCCACCAGGGAAGGCCCTATATTCACTTTTTAATCGGAAAAATATAAATACATTGGTTAGTTAGTAATGTGACTATTGTGGAAACAGATGACTAGCCCAGACATCCTGTGAGGGAGGGGTATGCAGACCCTGTTTGAGTGCCCCACCTCCAAGCCACCCCTAAACACCCTTGGTGAACATGGTCGGTGGACTTGGTGGCCTCCAGACAAATCTCTATTCAGTGCTAGTAACTCTTTCTGATTTCTTGTAGATAATACTCATCCTGGCCCTGGGGGAGAAACTGAAGAAGTTTTTGAAATACAAAGAGTAAATGGGGCTTGACCTCTGCTGGGCAGCCCCCAGCTCTAGGCATTCCCCGGCTGAGCAGAGAAGATGACTGCAGAATTGAGAGAGGCCATGTCCCTGGCCTCTTGGGGCCCTGTGACAGTGAAGAAGGAAGAGGAAGAGGAGGAGGAAAACTTCTTAGTTCAAGCTTCCAGCCAGCATGTGTACTCTGAGAACATCAAAGTCTGGGCCTCTGGGGAGTGTCCTCAGACAGGCCTAGATGTATCAAAACAGGAAGAAAAGGTAAGTTTGGGAGGGAGGAGAGACACAAGATTTCAGATGGTTTCAGAAGGAACTCTCTCTGTCCATACCTGGTGTCCTGTTCTCAGGTCTTTAGTCCTTTGGAATATATAGAAAGTTTCTCTTCTGAGTGATGTGACATTCAGTGCTTTCTTTAAACCAGTTTCTCAAACTTGGACATACAGAATTACCTGAGGAGCTTTTTATAAAATCTCTGCTGTACCATAAATCAGTTTCTAGCAGTGGAATTCTCACTAGTGCTTCTTAAGCTTTAACTACATAGGAACCACCTGGGGTTCTTGTTAAAAATGCAGATTCTGATTCAGGAAGGTGTAGGGTTTGGTCTGAGAGTCCGCATTTCTCACAGGCTCCAAGGTGATGCTGCAGATTCTGATCTGTGGACTACATTTTTTTAAAAATTTATTTATTTATGCATATAAGAGCTGGGGGTGGGGGGCGGGTGTAGGCCAGAGATGTGGTGAGTAAGAGGATTCACCAGACAGAGTTGGGAGCAGAACAGGCAAACAGACTGAAATAACACTGCTGAGGGGAGTGGAGGGGAGACAGGAGAGGTCTGGTGCACTATTGGGTCATCTCCCTGACTGGGGATTGAACTTGTGCTGCAGTGGCTGTGGCTAACTTCATAGTGCTGTGCTTCAACCTGTTGTGCCACCAGGGAGGCGCCCACTCTTTGAGTGGTGATGCTATGCCCTACACAATGTTGTAGTCTTGAATGTTTTCACATACATCCATTTTCAGCACTAGCCAGATGAGGCCCTGAGTTCCCCAAAGCCTCTCAGTAAAAATGATATTAAAAGCTGTCTGTTTTTTTTCTTATGATTGGTTGATTGGTTGGTTGATTGGTTGATAGATTGGTTGATACAGAACTGGGGTACAGGCCAGAAGTGCAGGGGCGGTGAGAGGATTCATCAGAGACAGAGTGGGGAGCAGAACAGGCTGACTGATGAAGTACATTGCTGAGGGGAGCAGCAGTGGGTCAGGAGAGGGTCTGTCGCACCACATGGGTCACCTCTGGGATGAGGATTGAACTCATGCTGAAGTGGCCTTAGCCTCTTAGTGCTGTGTTTTAACTGGCTGCACCACCAGGGAGAGCCAGAGGGGATCGAACCTGAAGCAGCTGTGGCCAGCTTGCAATGCTGCAATTTAACCTGTTGTGCTACCAGGGAGGGCCCTAAAATCTGTCTTTTTTGATGTTTAGACTTTAGCAAACATCAAAACTTCCCACATCCCCTCTTCTGTCATACACTCACTGACAAGTTAAGTTTGGATGCTGGAGGGAGCACTGAGGGGGGGATGGGGATGAAGGTGCTGACTTACTTCTCTGCCTAACTCACCTTGGGGACTAGGGAAAATTGACTTTTTTTTTTTTTTTAAGTGTTGTGACTTCCAGAATAAATACTTATGTCCTCATTCTGAAAACTAATCACACCACCTTCCATCAACAATCCCCTCATAAGCCCACCTGTGTGTACTTGTCTCTAGGGTCAAAACATGTTCTGGGACATGGCAGTGGTCCTGAAAGCAACGCAGGAGGAGTCTGCTTCTTCACCCCTTGGCAGTTACTCACTACCGGGGACTCTGGCCAAGAGAGAGATACTGGAGACTCCTGGAAACATGACCACTCTAGGTAAGGTTAAACCCCCTGATTCAGAGTCTGACCATTGGGGTTTCTCGAATCATTTTAGAGACCTGTGGGCTGGTCTCTGACTTGAGCAGCAGAGACTGTTGAGGTATTAAAAGTTTCAGGTCGAGCTGGACAGAGTAATGCTAAAAATGCTTATGCATTTGTCATGAGAATTGGCTTATTTTGCTTACACACTCAAGACACCAAACACAAGTAAACTCTGAATTCATCTTTTGACCTTGCAGGTTGTTGAGCCTCCAAGTGAAGCTCGCTAATTTGGAAGGGACAACTGTAGGGTGATTTTGAGGAAGTAGATTGGAGATGTTCTGTTTTCATAGATTGATGTGCAGATTCTAGAGGATTTTGAGCAGTTGTGTCAGTCAGTGATGTTTAAAAATAGGTCTTCAGGGAAAGTACTGATGACTTTCTCACCTGGTTCTCTCTAAGCTGGGACTCAGGAAAGAAAAGGGTGTTGATAGGTCTGATCAGCAGTGGTGGAAGCCTGCCTGTGCACACGCGTCCTGCAACTGAGTCAGACGTGATAGTGGTGAGTCCTGGTTTACAGGGGCAATCCTGAGATCATTGCTGAGGCCGTCTGGTACCCCCATTTTCTTAGCCCAGGTGCAGGGCTGTGCCTGGATACTTCTGACTCACTATGTCCCCTCCTGAGTCCCTCAAGCAAACAAGTCACTGGCTTAAAACTAAGTTTTCTGCTCTCTCTCATTATTCCCCAAACTCTCAACTGCTTCCTAACTTTTGCTTTCTGTTCTATTCTTTCCATCACCTCTTGTTTTATTCGTTGTCTAACTCCACAACAGTGACTATACAGCCAGAGACGCAGAGTTTTAGAACATCAGGATATTTTGCTGTTCTCGTGATGTTTTTGCCATTATGCATGGGCTGTACATGTCACAGCTTGACTCAGAGAGATGAACTCGCCTTGACACAAGGCGAAGCTGTTTCCTCGGTAGGTGGGGGAAGCTTTTCCTCTTCATAGTTTCGACTTCTGTCACGAATGACCATCTGTCTCCAGGGCAACACCCATCTGCCTAACCTCCATCTTCTGGCCCTGGCACTGGTCCCCTGAAAGTAAACTGCTCGCTCACAGAGAACCTGGTGTGCTCCAGGCTGTTCTCAGCCATTGACAGAGTTCCTCAGTCATTTCCTCCCACCGTCTGCTGAGGAACACACAGCCATTGTCCCTATTTTAGAGATAGTGAAACAAAAGAACACAGAAGTTATGTTATGTCCCCAAATCATGCCACTGGTAAGCAGGCATTTAAACAGGCAGCCTGGCTTCAGAACCCCTTATCTTATCCTTAGGCTGCAAGTGTCTCAGTGTTCCAGATGTTGCTGTGGCACCTCCTGTCGGCCAGGGTGAACCATTCTCTGTCTACTTAGCTTTCTTTGCTACCTGGCATCCTCATGCGGAAAAACCAGTGTTGATTTGATCTTTGTTCACAGGTAGGGAATCTCCCCTAATTAGCTGGTGAGTTGTAAGTAGAGCCACAGGTAGCTCTGGTGAGTAGGCGAGCCTGCAGAGAGGCTGTGGGACCAAATATTAGGCAGTGGGAGAAGAGCTGTTTGGACCCAGCTTCCCCAGCATGAAGCAGTGGGTTGAATGTCTGATGAAACAAAGTGGAAGTGCTGGAAACACTGTCAGTAGGTTCTGCGCCAGGTGTGAGGGAGGGCACACACCGGCAGGAGGACCTCTAGTAGGAAGGTAACAGGAAGGATTTGTGCCTCTGGTGAAGCCATTTTGCAGAGTTGGAAATTGTACACTCCCTGTCATTGTGAGTTGGTGACTCTATTCTTCTTCTAGGCCAGATAAAACTGACATTTGTATTTTTCTGGTTGTATCAGATGCTGATTCCAAGAACCCACAGTTCTTGGTTCCAAAAACTGAAATATGTGATGAAACAGAAAAAGCCTTCCTAATATCAGAACAAGTGCAGAAAGATGACCCTCCAGGACCTGAGTTTGGAGAAACCTGTGAAAAAGGGAACATGTTAAAAAGGCAGAGAGTAAAGCGGGAGAAGAAAGATTTCAGAGAAGTGACAGTGAAGGACTGTCACATACCTGAAAACTTCAAAGAGGAAGACCAGAAATGTCACAAGTATGGGGAAAGGTACAGCTTTAGTTCTGGTCCTGCTAAAAATCAGAAAAGCCAGCCGGGGCAGAAACCTTTCACCTGCAGCGTGTGTGGGAAAGGGTTTAGTCAGAGTGCAAACCTCGTGGTGCATCAGCGGATCCACACTGGGGAGAAGCCTTTTGAATGTCATGAGTGCGGGAAGGCCTTTATTCAGAGTGCAAACCTCGTCGTCCATCAGCGGATCCACACTGGACAGAAGCCGTATGTTTGTTCAAAATGTGGGAAGGCCTTCACTCAGAGTTCAAATCTGACTGTCCATCAAAAAATCCATTCCTTGGAAAAAACCTTTAAGTGCAGTGAATGTGAGAAAGCCTTCAGTTACAGCTCGCAGCTTGCTCGGCACCAGAAAGTGCACATTACAGAAAAATGCTATGAATGTAATGAGTGTGGGAAAACATTTACCCGGAGCTCAAACCTCATTGTTCACCAGAGGATCCACACCGGGGAGAAGCCCTTTGCCTGTAATGACTGTGGCAAAGCCTTTACCCAGAGTGCAAACCTTATTGTGCATCAGCGAAGCCACACCGGTGAGAAGCCATATGAGTGTAAAGAGTGTGGAAAAGCCTTCAGTTGTTTCTCGCACCTTATCGTGCACCAGAGAATCCACACTGCAGAGAAGCCGTACGACTGCAGTGAGTGCGGAAAAGCCTTCAGCCAGCTCTCCTGCCTTATCGTGCACCAGAGGATACACAGTGGAGATCTTCCTTACGTGTGCAACGAGTGTGGGAAGGCCTTCACGTGTAGCTCATACCTACTTATTCACCAGAGAATCCACAATGGGGAAAAACCCTACACTTGCAACGAGTGTGGCAAGGCCTTCCGGCAGAGGTCGAGCCTGACCGTGCACCAGAGAACCCACACTGGGGAGAAGCCCTACGAATGTGAGAAGTGTGGGGCGGCTTTCATTTCCAACTCTCACCTCATGCGGCACCACAGAACCCATCTTGTTGAGTGACAAGTAGAGGAAGGGGAAGACCTTAGCCATTGAGCATAACTCCACCCCCAAATTAGACTCTGCCTTGCTGTTTCTTTCCTTTATAAAATGAAGTCTGCTGTGTCTTTAAGAGCGACCGTTTTCAGGGATGCAGCACAAAACAAAAGCAGACATTTTCAGAGGCTAATGTAAAGAACATGAAACCAAGCGCACAAAGCAAAGCCTTTGCCCTGAGTGGTCACGATTTCTAAAATTCAATGTGGCTTTCTTAGAAAGGGGTCAGACAAAGCTAAGTGATAAAGTTCCCATTTGGGAAAAGATATTTTTTACTTAATTTTGTTTTTTAAAACTTGGGATTTTTTGAACAGCAGGCAGGTACCTGTGTAGGTCTGTCTGGTGGAATTCTGGAGCTTTGAACCTTGTTTGCTAGTATTTTGAGCTAACTAGTGGCTAGTTAAGACAACCAGTTGGGGTAACCATTCACCTCTGAGCATTTATAAGTTTTCCATTCCCTCGGTAATCTTTTTTTTTTTTTTTTTTAAACTAAAAGCCAATGAACTATCTACTATTACTAAAACAGAAGTAGGGAATGGCCCTTTCTTTCCTTGTCTCTTGAGCCTCGTGTGCTGAGCTCTGGGCCCCTCTGAGGAGTCTCTTCTGCCTTTCTCCAGTCTGTATGGCCAAGTTCTTGAGGCTGGATGGAGATAGCATACCAGGGCCCAAGTGTTTCTGGGCTGTATGTTTTGCTAAGATCAGCAGTTCTCCAAATAACCTAGCCCTTAATACCCAGGACATTCCATTTGAGCGAGATTCTACAAACAGCTTCCTTGATGGAAGAGTCAAAGAATAAAGCTTGCCTAGAGACAGGCTTCCTTGTCTTCGCTCTCATTCTGCTCACATCCAGCCAGGGGCTCATTGGGGTTTCGATCTCACTTTCTGATGGTCTTTAGAGGAAATATAGAGCTCTTTTGATTTTTGAGAGGATCAGAGAAAGGAAAGGAAAGGGAGGAGGCAAGCGTGGGAGTCCCACGGTCTTGATTTGTCATTTCTTAAGACATTCAGAGGGATTGGAATGTGAAAACTTAGAAGGATGAAGAAACTGGCCAAGGTAAGATACCTTTGTTACCATTGAGCCTTTATTCCCGGTAAAATGATTTCTAAAACTATGCAATAGGTAGTTGTGTAATAATAATGCCTTGTATTTCTACAGATCTTTATTTTTTGTTTGTTGACCACGTATAGAATCAGGATACCCAGCACTTACCGCTTGCTTTCACAGAGACCATGACCTTAATCCTGGACACCGAAAGAGGTGTTTGCCCCTTTAACCTCAGAGCAGTCATGCAACACCTGGTCAAGCAACATGTGATAAAGCCTGTACTCAGATCTGGGACTGAAATCTGGTTCGTTCTGTGCTACTTGTCTAACCACCTATAATCCCCCACCCAGATCTGGGAGAACCTGAGAAAGGGGCATGTGGTCTCATTTTCAGGTGACAAAGCTGTGGTGACAGATTTTGGCACGTGCCTTAGGCAGTGTGACCAGGAAGCAGCAAATCTACGACTGCAGTTTGAGTGTACTGGCTTAGGGGTCTCTTGCTTCACCCCCAGTTTCAGCATGCAGATGTGTACTGCATTACCATCAGAGCAGGACAGCATGACTCATGAGAAGCCCTGTGCTTTTATTGTCTCAAATAAAGACTAACATTTTTTTATCCTCATTTTTATTTTTTACTTTTATTTATTTTCTCACATTGTTGTTCATTTTTGTACAGTATTTGTTCGACAAGACTAGCTATTAATCAAAACAGTTTTTGGTAGTTCACGGAGCCCTCTCACTTACAGAAGCATTCATAAGAAGTTTAGTGGTTTCCTCTTCCTTCACTTGTCTTCACCCTTTAACTGTAGTTTATGTGAAGGCACGTGCCAACTGTTTTTCCCAATGTCACTCCAGTTGGTACAGATTTGAATACAAGAAAGCAATAGAACTCGAAAGTCAAAATCAAATTGCATGTGCCATGGCTGACCCTGGCAGTGACTTCCTGTCCCCATGTCTGGCAGTGGAGACACCCAAAGATAGACCGTGGGTCTCCGCTGAGATTAGGAACTAGCTAGGTCTGTGTTTCCCCCAGTCCCACCTGCATGACGGGACTTAGAAGCGAGGAAGAGCAGGTCTGAAGATCCGGGGTAAACCTGTGACGGTGACCCCCAAGAGGTCAGACATTCCTGAAAGAGGCCAGCTGGGATGTGTCGCTGACAGGACAAACTGAGCTTCACATTGGTCCTCAGAGTGGTGATTGTATTTTCCCTGGTCATGGATGACTGTACTTTTTCTTTGTTTAAGACGGAAAGTTAGGTTGGCCTAACTTTCATAGCAGTAAACGGTGCTTTTCTACCTTGGCTGCCTGTTGGAATCCCCCAGAACACTTTAGAAATGTTGTATTCCCAGGCCACAGTAGTATTTATTATTCTGGAGGCGAATCCAGGATGCAGCCAAGGTATTGAGTCACTGCAGTCAGATAAATCCTCCCATCACTATATGTCTTGTCAGAGATGGGGGGCTCCAGTGTAGGGAGCGTCCTGTGTGTGAAGGGAGTTCCTGTGGTTTCAGCCAACAGGGCACTTGACAACCCTTGGCGGTTAGGTTTCTGTTATCTAATATATTTTAAGAAAGTACCAAACATTTTTTTTTATGAGGAAACCAATACATTTTAATAATACGGTTTTATGTTCCTCATTCAACAGAGTGACTTGATATTTAACTTGTATCACATCTCCAGGTTTTCCACATACTTGCACCCAGTTTCAGAATCCTTATCCTGCACCATCACGTGAGCCTAGTGGATTACTAGACAGTTCATAGCCTTCTCCAGCTAGTAACAGCTCTCTCCCAATTGAACTCCAGTTCTCAAAATCAGTTACCGCCACCTTGTTCTGTAGTTTTGATAGAAGAGGATTGACGCCTTGTCATAGTTGGCTTAAGCTTCCCTTCTCCTTTGGGTATGTCCCTTCTCCCTTGAAGACTAGTCTTTTTTTAAAGATTTATTTATGCATACAAGAACTGGGTTATAGGCCAGAGGTGTGGAGGTAAGAGGATCCACCAGAGACAGAGAAGAGAGCAGAACAGGTGCATCTACTGAAATACACTGCCAAGGGAAGCACCAGCCGCCAGAGGAGAGGTCTCTTTTCCCTGTGGGCAGCTCCTTGGCTGTAGTGGCTGTGGATAGCTAATAGTGCTGTGCTTTAACCCGGTGCCATCAGGGACACCCTTGAAAGATAGTCTTAAAGTGGCTGGGAAGTCTAAGCCTGTTTCCCTCAGTTACCAAGAGCTATCAGACATTAAGTATGAAAGGACCAGGCCTGTGATGGACATAACTGTAGAACCAAGAAGTCTCACCCTCAAATAAGACCAACAGATGTGTATTAAACGTGCTTCACAGCAATGCAAAAATGATAATGAAATCGTTTGGGCACACGGGAGAGATTTCATCAGTAAACACACTAAATAAGCACAGTTGGCTGTGAATTTCTCCAGGTTCACGAAGGGAGGAAGGGGTGTCTCTGGGCAAAGCTGCCCCTCCCGTGCTGTGGATCCTCTCCTTTCCCTTGTATAGGCAGTTGTCTCTCCCTACACCTGTTGCTTCTTCAGTTGCTCTACCATCCAGTGTACCTCGTCTTTCTGGGGTCACAACCCCTCCAAGAATTTGGTTGCAATTGGGAAGCCGCCCAGAGAAATACAGCCTGTGCCATCTGTTCAGTGCTCACTTGCAGGCGCATCTGGGCTCCCTGAGGAGCATAACCCCAGCGACTGTGAGAGCAGATTTGAAATCTGACCTCTTAAATCTGGCTTTTTCTGTGTTTCTTCCCTGAGCAAATGTCAGCATTATTCCTACCATCGAGACTGGAAACCTAGAAGTTTTCTGGCTTCTGTCTATCCTTTAGTCATTTAAAAAATGTTATATATCCTCCTTGTGGCAGGCTGGTACTAGATCCCGGATGCCTAAGCAAATGCGGTCTAGCAAACCCTTTTCTCATGTTTGTTTAGGGAAGAAATGTCTAGGTCCCTGAAAGTGACTTCTGAGCACTTCATAATCTTCCATCTTCATGTCTATGCCCCCTTGTATCTTTCCTGCAGCAGAGAGGCACGTGCTTGCCCCTCCCTGAGTCCCCCACGCTCACGCTGTCCTCGCCACCTCTCCCACTCGGCTCCTGCCTTTCCTAGCATTAGGTTTCTTTTAAGATTCTCTTCCAGTCCTATATGGGAAATCTTCAGACTGCCCTCTGGCCAAGGGCCAGAGTACAGTTTCCAAGTATAGCAAAGCACTGTATATATTAGGCACCAGGAGTTTTAACTGTATGGTTTGAAGTGCAAAACATCTGGATTTAAAATTGTCTAGGTAATGCAATTCCTATGCAAAGTAGTTGCTTATACTATTAAAAATAAACCAGTAAATCAGAAAAATAGTGGTCAAGTAAGTTGTTCATGACCATACAGATGGGAAATTGCAGACTCAAACTTAGGTCCTGAGATGATAGAATTATGGGTGACTAAGGGTTTTTAAAGTAATTCCCATATTTTCTATAAGCAAGAAATTTGTAATCAGGAAAAATATTTGCATATTTAGTTTAATTGTATCAATTATAAAGAGTATGTCCGTTCCCCATTTTGTAAGATGTGGAATGCCCCTTTCCCTCTCTCCCCTTTTCCACTTCTCTGTCTCTGAACATGTCAAGTCTGCTACTTTTTAAATTTTTTCTTTAAACAGTTTTTTATACTGAATGATTTGTTCTAACAGTTGGCAGTAAATAGCAGGAATGTTATGACCCTCTCAGTATTGTTCACCGCAGACCTAAGTAGCCTACCATAATTGTAGGAACAGTATTTCTTTATAATGAAGTCTCTAATTGCCTTTCTTTCCCCCTTTATACTCTACTTTTAGCACATTGTTGACTATTTGGAAATTCTCCGCCCAGCGAGGTAATCTGAGTCCCCTGATTCTGCCTTCTCTGTATTTCCTTTCCAGCTCCTCCAGCCTCTGCTCTGGTCGGTCCTCCGTGTTATCTCTGCTCACTGGTCTCCTGTTACCCTGGGCTCTGTTGTGTCCTGAGTACTGTCTTACTCTTCATTCACCCCCTAATTTATCTGCCTCCTCTCTTTTGGTCATCTGCCAAGAAAGAGTATGTGGAAATCAAAACTGTTGAGAACTTGTACGAGTAAAACAATTTTCTCTGCCCTCACATTTGGTTTGTAATTGGGCTCTGGAATTTTCAGTTGAAAAATTTCTCTAGAAGGTTACAGTCGTACAGCATCACCATTGCTAAGAAAATGTCTGAGCCTCGTTTTCGTTTTTCTGACAGTCAATAAATACTATTTACACTGCTATGGTGTGTCTCCCCCCCCCCCCCCCCCCCCCATTACCTGGAAGCTTCTAAAAGGCTCTTTTACCTTTGGTGTGTTCCATTTCTTTGGGTACTCAGTGGAGTTTTTCAATCCAGTGACTCAGGTATTTCTACTTTTGACAATTTTTCCTTTCTTGACTCTAGAATTCTGGTCAATCAAATGTTGAACCTTTCGGATTGATTCTCAACTACTATATTCCATTTCTTTGGTTTCACTTTCTGGGCCAGTATTTTATTTTTTGACCTTTCTAACAAGTTTTTTGGCAGTTGTTTAATTTCTAATCCTGTTCTTATTTTTCTCCTTTTGTAACATAATAGTCTTATTTTAGAGCTACTTTTCCAATCTTAGTATTCCAGTTAAGAGGTTTTCTTAAGTTTCTTTTATTGCTTGATTATCCCATCCCTGAAATACCTCATCTTCTTTGTGCTCTGAATCCTTTTTTCTTTTTGATATCTTGTTTGCTGTCACTGGAAACTCTCAAACATGTTATGATTCTTACACACAAATACACGTAGTGTAACTTACACACAAATACACATAGTGTATTATCAAAAGCCCACTTGAGACCTCTGAATGTGAAAGGCGTTGGCCCAACAAAAAAGCTTCCCACTAGAGTAGAAGGGAGACCTCTTACTGCCTGGATGCAGAGATTTTGCCTGGGGCTCTTATATTTCTTTAGCAAAAGTAAGGCCCCACTAGAGTAGGAGGGAGACCTCTAACTGCCTGGATGCAGAGATTTTGCCCAGGGCTCTTATATTTCTTTAGCAAAAATAAGGCTCTTATGCCTGGATTTGGTTGCTATAAAAAGAATGTTGATAGCCTTTGATAGAGTAATACCACTTTCAGAAAACTAACCACTTTGGCAGTTATTTATACGTTTGTTACTATTTTTATGAAACATGGACTAACGATAGAGGGATGACTGAATTATCATGTGATGAAATAGGATGTGACCATACAAATCATAATTTAAAGAATATTTAGTGATGACAAAACGTTCACAGTATTAACAATACAAAATAGGAGAAGTGAGTATAGAGAGTCCAGATTTCTTAAAAGGTTTACATGCATAGAAAAAGTGGAAGGAAACAAATGCATTGGTGGATTAACAAGTTCAGTTTTTCTATGTCTGCATTTTCAATGAGGATTTTTAATTATTTTCTGATCATTGGGGGGGAGTTAATAAAAGAAAAAGATCATGGCTTGTTGAGAGTGATTAAGACACTCTGGTGAAGTGGGGTGGACAGTGGGGAGCAACAGAATAGGGACCTGGGGAAGTGAAGTACCCAGTCACCAAGGGCTTCTCCAGGTGAAGCAGCCCCTCTGAAGAATATACACAACCCCACTGTTCATGACATGTCACCTATTGCGGGCAGGAGTGTGGAAGCTGGGGAGGGGAGAAGGCATTGTGGGGATCACACAGGCAGCTTTTATGAGTCCAAAAGAGATTGAGATTCAGACACTGGCTGACCCAGGGAGTCAAGGGGAGGGGAGGGGTGTACAGAATATGGAATGGGGGGGCCTGAGAGGCATGGAACATGAAGCTAATTCCCAAGGCTGAACATCTGGACCTCATACCCTAGTGAGACATGACCTCTGACAAATAACTGGCCCCAGGCCTAAGAGGCCCTGGTATCCTCGTTCCTCTCAGGCAGTGCAGCTGCTCGCAGGCTGTTTGGCTGCGCTGTTCCCACTTCCCTGCTGGCCCAACAGCAAGGTTGTAAGCACCACCTAATTAGCAGAGAGGGTCCTGCTCAGCACTTAAGTCCTCAGCTGAGGAGGGGAGTTTTCTTAACATCCCCACCTTTCAAGGCTCATAGTCACTCAGGAGTAGAATAACTCAGAAGCCAGAGCCTGTGCCATACTCTGCCAAGCTACTCTTCCCCTTGACCCCCCCTTAACACACATACCTCAAGGGTCCCTTTTCACATCTATTGGTTATTAGTTGAAAGAATGATGCTTACAGGTAGTAAAAAGTTCCAAGGTGGAAAAGTACCCAATAAAAATTCAAGCATGCCAGAGTAGCACAGGTAGCAGTCATTTAGAGAAAAATGGTGTAAATTTCTCAAGGCTCTCCAGAGGGTTCACCCATTTACAGTCCTTTGTATCCCTCTTAGAACTACACAGAGTCCATACCTTGTTTTCTCTCTAGTTTGTTTTGGAGATGGCCCTCTCAGTCTATAAGATCTACCTCATTCTTTTTTTTGGATTTATCAATTCATCCAGCCTGTGCCCTGTGGAGACTTGTAGGTTCTTTTCTGTCTTTTGCTCCTGCAAGCTAAGCTGTGTTGACTATCTCCAGTGCACTCCATTGCTGGTGTGTGTGCAGCTTTTCAGCTATTTAATTGATAAATCAAAGGGTAAGTGCATTTGATATTTTGATAGAAATTGCAAATGTGGTTCCCTGTACGAATGCGAAACGTCCACTTACCTGAATCCTATACAAAGCAGTTGTTCGGTCTTTTATGTTCTCATACAGTGGAAAATGTTGGTTTAAATTGTGTTCGATGTCTTTGAGTGAAACTGGGTAATTTGTGTTCAATATTTAAAAGCCATGTGTATTTATTCTGCGAATCTTGTTCATTATGTTTGTTATGCATTGTCCCCCGCTGGGTCGTTGCTCCTTTTAAAAACGGATTTGTACAAACTCTGTAGTAAAGAAAATACCCTTTCTGCCATATGTGTTGCAAATATTTTCCCCAGTTTATAGTTAGTCCTTTAAGTTTTGCTATTAAGACATTTCAGATGTCATGTCAGATCAAAGATTTTTCTTCAAGATTCACCCCTGATTGCCTGTAGTCCTCTTTTGAGATAACTCCATTTGAAACTCATCAACAATAAAGGCCGAGATGGGGCCTGACTCTGCCCTGGCCCTTTTTCTCTCGGGTCCAGGAAGAGAGACCCAGCTGAAGAACCACAAAGATGAAGACACCTGGCTTCCTAGAGGTGCCAGGCAAGCACCTACAGCTTGCTTATGGTTCATTGAGCAGTGGGCTGGCGCGGAGGGTCGGATGGCCTCCATCTGCTGGGGCCACCTCTCAAGTTTGGAGGGGGCGGCTGGAGTTGCCTATGGCTGGAATCGTGGTTGAGAGGGTAGCAGCTGCAGCAAGGGAGAGAGCTGGAGGGCTGGGTGTGCTAAGGATGGAGGAGGAGGGTCACCTGCACCCTCACTCCTGCATCCTGTGTTGGGAAGGAGGGCGAGCTGCTCCATGAGGTCAGCTGGGGGACACAGGCACAAGGACGCCAAGCAGCTGCTCGTGCAGAGGTGGGCTTTGGCTTCACACATGCTGGCCCAGGGCCGTGATGCCAACTTAAAGAGGGGTGCTGTTTACTGGGCTTCCTCAAGTCCCAAAATAGTTTCATGTTTCTTACTTGGAACAAAACAGACTCCATTTGTTTTTGTTATATATTATTTGTTTTTATCTTACATGTCTTGCTCAGATCAAATTGAGACCATAGTTGAAAAGGAGGGTTTTATTTGGGAGCCAATAAATGTGAGAGGCGTTCTCTGGACAACTCCAGGGGGAAGATTCCAGAAGTCTGTGTATTGGGGAAGCCAGAGAACAGGGGAGCAGGAGAGTAGAGCTTTCTGAACAGCCATGAGGAGAGACAAGCCAAGACTGGCCGGGGCCCAGAAAAAGAAAAACAATTCCCAGGAGAGAGAGGTCAGAACTTCATGGAATTTGGGGGCGATACCTGCCAAGGTGCCAGCCTGAGGCTCCCAGCAGAAACCTCCACGTATGTACTGAATGTGGTCTGGCCTTGGCCAGAGGTCCATCCTCATTGTGCACCAGAGAATCCACACATGTGAAGCCGTACAGGTGTGAGGAGTGTGGGAAACCCTTCACACGAGGTTCCCACCTCATCAGGCACCAGAGGGTGCACATAGGGGAGAAGCCACTATGGTTGCAGCACGTGTGGCAAGGCCTTCAGCCAGGGCTCCAGTCTCGTCGTGCACCAGGGTGTGCTCACGGAAAGAAGCTGTATGTGTGCTCCCATTGTGGCAAGGCCTTCAGCTGCAGTTCCTACCTCCTGGTGCAGCAGGCAGCACACCCACATGGGCGAGAAGCCCTACCACTGTACCCAGTACAGGAAGGCCTTTTGCCACCTCCAGACCACTCAAGCCTGGAACAAACAGCCTGCCTGTCTAGTCAGAGCCCAGTGTTGATGGGGGTCAAGGTTTCAGTTCCAACACCGGATCCAACTGAGAGGAAGCCAAGCCCTTGTCATAACCCTGGTCAGTGCCAGACAGCCCAGGCACGTTCCCATGAGGGCCTCTGGTGCCTTTGGCCATCAGGTGCAAACACACATAAGCATGCAGGAATGACTGAAGGACTTAGAAGACAAGCTATGATAAAATGTGAGCTGTGTTCAGAGAAAGCAAGTTCACAAATGGGGAACATCTTGAGGCCTCATGGGAGGGCAGTGGATTCTAGGGAAGAGTCAGGGGAGGGACCAGAATAAGCACAAGTCTAAGAATGAGTCTAAGTGGGTCCTATGAGGGTGGATGTGAGATCACTGGGAGTGGCGGGCCATGGGTGCACAGGGAGATAGGAAGACTGAGGCCGAAAGCCCTGGTCCATGGGGTCTGCATACCAAGGCCGAGGTTGTGCCCACTGGAATTGGCTTCCTGCACCAGTGTGACTGTGGTGAGCCCCTGAAGGCCTAAGCCCTATTGTCCACAGTACTCTGCTGCAGGAGTTAGACACAGGGACTTCAAATTCTCTTTTCACACGGACACAAGGTGTCAGGAGCTATGAAGCCTGTGGCAGAAAGCACAGGGAGGTGTACGGAGGGTGATGCTGGGGTGACTCAAAGTAGGTAGGAAGGGAAAAGGAGCTCAATCACGTGGGGGGTTTCTCTAGATTTCTCTAATCCAGCTTGTTCATCTCTAACGAGGGTCCCTGCAGAGGGCCACAGCTGAGGTCTCTTTGTAGTTAGTGTCCATTCATCCATCATTCTACAGTTTGTTGCCTTTGTAGAAAGAAATTTGTAG